CAATTAATTAATAAGCAGCCATTTTTCCAAAAACCAGAGTTTTCTCTTGAATCAAGAGGGTCTTCCCATGAAGGATTTTTTTATAATCTCCTGAATTAAAAAACAGAAGCACATAATACATATTTTAACAATTTATTTTGCCAGCTGTATTAAATACTGACTGAAAAAATGTGTATTTCTCCTACATGAAACATAACAGACATTTAATAGGTTGCTGAATGAGGAAAATAGATGTAAATTAGATGTAAAACTATTATTAATTTATTATAATCAGAATTTAATTACATTCAACATTTATTTTTTTCTCTAATTCTTTAAGTTTTGTTTCATTCTTGTTGGTTCTGTTTGACTAAAACATGTTTGACCCTAGGGCTGCCACAAACAATTAGTTTAATAATCGATTAATCACCGATTATTTATTCGATTAGTCGACTAATCAGATCAAACGTTAATTGAATATAAAACATAGAGCTTATCACACCAGAATGCAGCTGCTATTATATAAGCATGGTTAGATTTTAGCTACATGCTAACTAAAAATAATAGCTGTTGAAGGTAAGTTCTGCTCTGCAGATATTACACAGGTTTCTCATCATATCTGTTTCTAAACACCTTGAAATTGGCCTGTCTCTTTAAGAACCACCTTCTGCTTCTGTCCCACCCATTTTAGCACGGGGCTGGGTGTGTGCTCTGGGATGAGGCAGCTCTGTTTGGAGACATAACCCAGAGGAGGAGCTGGTCCCAGAAGGTGGTTCTATCTACAGTAGACCCAACTGGTTGTTTCTGCTGCCCTGCCTGCTGCTTCAGGACACTGTCAGACTCTGACATGTTTTTATCAGAGGATAACATTATAACATGATATAAAACTAAAAAAAGTTGATTTTACATGATATTGTCCCTTTAAGCATTTAAACAGATTTATAAATAATTCATTTAAAATTATTGTCTTAAAAGGAAAAAAACATAACTTTAAACAATTATAAATTTAAACTGTACAAAAACCAGACGTGTATGAGAGGAAAAGAAAGAGTGTGAGGAGTAGACATATTCTTCAGGAGACAGGATCTGCTCGTCCAAAATGAAAATAAATCATCTCAGACGACGTAAACAATGCTTATGTCGACCCTCAGTGATTTATTGTGATTTGTACTCCACACTGACCTTTCTGTCACGGGTCGTTGTTTGTGCCGATAAGAAAAATGGTTCCCCAGGACCTTGGATGTAACAGGCTCTTACTGTGAAGAAAAGAGGTAAAAACAGCAACTAAAAGAGACGCTCTTAAACCATCAGATTATTTGTTGTTCACTAAGTGAGCTGACCTTTCTCTTTGACGTACGCAGGAGGACTTTGAGTCGTGGTGTTCATTAGATCAGTTGCAGGGGCCACGTTTTCCCACTGTCCATGTTGTACGAGCTCTTTAAGATCTGACAAACACAAATTAAATCTAAATTAGTTTATAGAAACCTTAAAGAGAAAAATCACCAGGTAAACGTTTTTATAGAACGGGTCATAATTTAACCAACAGAGGGATCATAGATAGTCTGACCTGTCTTAAACTCATGTAACCTGTGTTTGGGGATGTTTTTATAACCAAGAAGAGCCAGCTGCTCCTCGATCTCTTCTTCTGTAAACTCCAGCCTGTCCATAATGTTGTCCAGTTCAAACACAGAGGTGAAGACTGGCCTAAATATGAAGAAGTTAAAACAATTACAAAAACATTCACATTCCTCATACAATATCAATAAAGTATAAAATGTTGTACATGTTATTAATATCAATTAAAGACTTTCAGCTTTTTAAAACTTGTTTACACATTTATAAATACAGAATCTACTGTTAAAGTGTTAAAGGTCCAACATAAGAATAAGTTATTACATAAAATGATAACCTAAATTATTATTTACCAGGTAAATAACTGTATTTTATTTTAGTAGCAATGTAACATTACGTATTTTAACTAAGACCTCTGCATTTTAAAGCATAAAATAATGAAATACAGCACGGTTTAATGTTTGTTTTCATCTTTAGTAAGGACAGCTGCACATCTGAGGACTGACTGGGCAGTTAGCAACAAGCTAACAATATTAGCTTGTTGTTAATGTTAGCTTGTTGCTAACTGCAGCAGAGGTCAGAGTCCGCCCTCACGTCGGTCTCCTGTAAATAAACCGTGATAGAAAACATTACCGGAGAGGAAAACATGAACACAGCTGAGTTGTTCAAACAAACCGTATCAAGACAAACAACCGGTAACGAGGTTTGAAAACGACTCGCCTGATGACAACTTCCGCTCGCTTCTTCTTTACGTCACTCGCTCACGGCTGAGTTGATGCATCACTGCCCCCTGCTGGACCGTGTCCTGAACTCCAGTTTGATCAGGGCTGTTAAAAATAATACCATTGCAAACAAAGCAGAAATCTAATGTATTTATAAAATAATCAGTTAATCCATTAGTAGATTTGTTCTTTAAATGGCCAAGTATATTTGTATTGATTAGTGCTACTGTACATTAAATAAATTGTGTATTTATTTATTCATTCATTCAAAAACAAAAAAATCTATTTAAAAACAAAACATGTCATAAATGACTCGAAATCTATTATAAGACAGATGTGATCCTTCATTCAACTTTAAAAACTCAATATCCTAAACATTCAACCAAAGTACAGTTTAAATAAGTTATATTCATTCACTGACATCTTCTGATAAAAGCAGAAGCACATAATAAATCAGTCCAAACGTCCATGTGTCAGACTCAGAGATGATTGAGTCTGAAGTGACTGATCTTCAGCTCTTCTGTGTTTTTAGCTGCACATCTGCAGCGTTGCTCTGCTCTGTGACCAGCAGAGTGTCTGGCCAGAGGCGGAGCTTCTGGGGGCTTGGGAGGGCGGCACACCCTCAGCCCAAGCCCCGCCCCAGAGGGGTGGGAGCTCACCACGCCTCAGGCGAGGATGTGGGCCCTCTGTTTGTATCCAGAAGAGCCCGGTCTGCTTGGTTTTCTAACTTCATTCAGGGACCAAATAAAACACAAACATGTTGCAGGTCTAGCAAAACTGCTTCTTGTCAACCATCCTTGGATGTAAGGAGCGTCTGAACAGTTGTTTTTATTTTTATTTTTATTGTTTAAGCCTGAACGATGAAACTGAACCTCGTTTAACCTGAGACAAGAACAGCCTAAAAATGATTAAAACATCACAAAATATTGATTTTTAGCTATCTTTTTACAGGCTGGTTAGGGATGTTTTCACCGAGCCGTATTGTTACACATCCTTTCACATGTACGACTTTCAAATTTTGTGCAGCTAGCACCTTCCTTTCTCAAGTTATGACTAAAATTAATCTTAAAAAACATGTTGCTTCCTGCCCTACTCGATCAAGCAGCTACACCCCGCACCGGCGTCAATCCGACCAATCACGTCTCGGGCCATCTCCACCCACATCGAAACCTACAGCAGAGACCCCCTACTCAGACCTGGTGCCTGATCAGCAGCCCCTCTCCTCACCCGCGCTGGACACAAATGAAAGCAGCAGCAGCAGCAGGTCTCCTCCCACCACACATGACGCAGATCGTGGAGGATGAAAACCCTCCTCTGGAATGTTTCCTGACTGGTCAGGCCAATTTTGCTGAAAACATCCAGGACGTCAACATTAAAAGATATATTCTTAAGATTGGCCCCTGCAGACCGAAAGGTCCATTTCCCACTGATAACGACAATCTGTGTTTTTCAGAAAGTTATTACACCTCGACCATGAAACTTCCCCACAGCTGGATGTGCTATTCCCCAAATTAGACAGCTGTTATTGTGAGCCTTGCTGGCTTTTTGCCAACTGAAATGCCACATATTATGAGGGGTGGCTGTGGCGGAGTGGTCAGGGGAGTTGTCCTGGAACTGGAAGGTCACCAGTTCGATCCCCCGTCCAGCTGCCTCAGTTGTTGTGTCCTTGGTGTTACGACCCTGGCTATCAAAGCCACAACACAAATGAGGACACAACACGGGACGCCAGATTTAAAACCTTAAAAGGCATTTTATTGTTTAGATGTCTAGGAGTTTTTATGTGAAGGATCTCACCACTTGGTCCACACCAAAAGTCTGCGTGGGACAAGAACCCAGTCTGCCTCACACAGGTTTGTCAGCTGGACGTCACCCCGTCCACAGTCATGCACTCGGTGAACCTCGGAGTCCACATTGAAATGTCCTCACTCCACTGCTGTTTCCTGGTCTCTTCTGAAGCTCTCGCCACCTCAGCGTCAGCTTTCATCGCCAGTCAGCTCCAGCCTTTACGCCAATTCGTCGTCTTACGCCCCTGGTTCATTTGAAGACCGCCAGCTGGCTCCGCACCTCCGGCGTCCCGCTTAATGGCGTCTCCTGAACTCCGCGTAGCTGGTGCACATCTATCCCTGCACCAGAACTCCCGACTTGGCTCCACAAGCTTTTCCACCTGGCTGTCAGCTCCGTCTGGCCTGGCACGTCACACCTGGCTGCAACACTCCGAGCTTCTAGCTGATCGGCTGATTAGCACACCTGCAACACCAATAGCTCCATCCCGTGTGTGTGTGTGCTTCCTGCTCCCCTGGGCTTGCCTTCTGCTGTTGGCCTTGCTTGACTTCGACTGGTCCTCTTCTGCTCCTCCGCTGGCTGCTTATAACTGCTCTAGGCCACCAGGACTCCACCTCCAGCAGCATCTGAAACAAAGCAGAAGCAACAGGATGCACCTGCCTGCAATGATAGTCAATAGGGGCAGCAGGGGACATCACATTGGGCAAGACACTTAACCCCAAATGCCTCTGATGTGTGTCCCATCAGTGTATGAATGTGATTGGCACTGATTAGTCTCATAGATGATTGTATATGTTAGCTTTGTAGAGACCTAATAAAGTGCTGTGTGAATGGATAAATGAGGACACAGACTGTAGTGTGAAGCACTTTGAGTGTCCTGGTTGGGTAGAAAGGCGCCATATAAGTACAGTCCATTTACCATTTACCATATTACAACAATGCATGGGTAAATGGAATTAGAGACTGGAAACATCTTTCTGTCAAAGTTTGAGAAGCATGAATCCACACAAATACATCTTGGTGCATGCATAGTAGGAGCAGTGGAAACTGAATAGATGCTGAAATGTAGAGGAATGTGCATAACGCAGCCTTGTTTTGGAGAAAGGTCCTGGATCACATTGTAAACGTCACTCTTACTCTGGCTTCATGCAACCTGGTATTCAGGGGGCACAGGGAAGTTCTAGGTCAGGGAAATGCTGGCAACTTTTTGTCAGTAATTGAGTTATTAGCTCTCTACGACCCTGTTTTGAAAGAGCTAATCAACCGACCAGAAAGGTCAGTGAAATATCTAAGTCACCAGATTCAAGATGAGATCATTTACATCTGGTCTCAACGTCTGAAATCTGACATAATTAATGAAATAAACGAAGCCCCATTTTATTCCATTATCATGGACACAACGCAAAATGTGTCAAAGACAGACCAGCTGAGCCATATGTATCGTTACATAACTGTTGTTAAAAATGACAGGGGTATTGCAACAGTTACAGTATACAGATCAATGGTGTTTTTGGGTTTTGAAGCGCCTGTGGGCTCATCAGTGTCAGAGCCTGAAAACCAAATCCTGAGTTCTATAGAAAAAAATGGAATAGACCTGACAAAATGCAGTGGACAGGGTTATGATGGAGCTGCAAATATGAGTGGTGCGTATTCTGGCGTACAAGCAAGAATAACAGAGAGAGAGCCCTTTGTCCGTTATGTTCATTGCGCTGCACATAACCTCAACCTTGCTCTCAATGATTCTGTTAAAAATGTCCCTGGAGTGAATCAGTTCTACAACACTGTAGAGAACCTGTACAACCTTTTTGGTCACAGTATCAAACGATGGGCGCTCCTCGGTGAGTTAATGACATCAGAGAGCTGAACTGTCACATTAAAATGCCTCTGTCCCACTCATCTCGACATGATGCGCTTTTTTGCGTTAAGGCACAGATATGGAGACATTTTAAAAGCCCTCGTCAAAATATCCCTGAGCAGTGACAAAAAGGAGGAGCGCGGTGAAGCAAGTGCGCTCAAGAATGCGATAAGCAAATTTTCTTTCCTATTTTTAATCAGCATGCAAACCAAGATTCTCGAGTGTATAAGCGCCGCCTCACAGTCACTGCAAGCTAAGGATGCAGATGCTCTGAAAGCATCTATGCTTCTGCAAGACGCAATCAGTGTTTTGATAGAGTTTAGGGAATAATTGATGAGGCTAAGTCTGCCACTCTTGCTCTAGCTACAAAATGAGGAAGTCAAACGCAGTTTGAAGCAACCAGGGCCAGAAAAGTGAAGCATCACTTTGATGAACTTTCTGAAGACAGCTGCCTCAATCTAAAAAAAAAAAGATAAATATAAAATACGACGTAATCCTCGGTGGAAAATAGTCCAGGAAACGTGCGTTCCCGGGAGGTGTTCACCTGAGCTGAGTGAAGCTGACCCCCCACCCACAGAGAAAGAAAAAAAGGCAGTAATTATTGATAAGGTAACCATGCTGTGGCTTCACCTGATGCATTTTCTTTTAAAGAAAGAAAAAGTAGCTTACAAAGCTGTCGCATCGGTGCTACGTGATTAAAAGCAGAGCTGCGCGTCTAATCTCACACACGTCTTCCTATCTTTGTGAGGACCACACACAGCGCTCAGCCTCGCTCTGCACCGTCTTTTTTCCCCAAGTTTGGTGYCAGGTGGATATGGAGGGACGCAAAAAATAGCTCTGGACTTGATCTGGCCTTATTTAAATAAAAATGACTACATGCCGTGAAATTCTTAAAGGGGTGGGCCATCTCAATGGCGGGGGGACGCCCCGCTTGTATAATGGTAAGGGAAACACTGCCCTACAGTTTGCTTATTGTCGTGGAGTTGGAGTTGACGACGCCATCATACACCTGCTTCAACAAACCCACTGTCACCTGGACAAAGCAGGCAGCACTGTGAGGATCATGTTCTTTGATTTCTCCAGTGCTTTTAACACAATTCAGCCTGAGTTGCTTTGTCTGAAACTCCAGAAAACTCCGGTGGAGACCTCACCAATCGCCTGGATCAAAGACTACCTGACAAACAGACCACAGTTTGTGAGACTGAAGGACTGTGTGTCTCACCATGTGGTCAGCAGCACAGGAGCACCACAGGGAACTGTACTCTCACCATTCCTGTTCACACTGTACACTTC